TTGCAACTTCACGTAATGATGGATAACTAGCAACATGAGCAATTAAGAGAAAAAATACCTCAGAACAGAACAAAGAAGAAATTAATATGAATAATTCTTTAGAAAACAGAACCCTATAAATGGCGACGACAGGTGTCAATACCACACTCAAAACGTTTTTTCACTTAGTTTCTTTTTCATCGTTACTAAATGCATATCGCATTTGCAGGTAATCTTTTGTATAAATTCTTATTAAACACTCATTCGCATTTGTGTACTTTTGATTTCTTTAGTATTTTTTCTATTAATTGCTCATGTTGCTAGTTATCCATCATTACGTGAAGTTGCAACGAATGATGAAGAAAGTGACAATGATTTACAATTAGAACTTCGTTCGATTTTAAATCATCTTGATAATGAACAAATGGAACGATCTATTGCATCAAGTAAGGGTAAAACCTTTTATTAAATCAGCTTTTAATAGATTCATATCTTAGATGAAGATAGTCAAGAAGATGATTCTGATCAAAATGAACGTGCGATGAACAAACGACAAGGGGGTTATAATGTAATTAATCAAGATCTTAAATGTGAAATCGAATGTGTTGGTAAATTACGAAATCCTGAAACAGGTCAAGGAATGTCAGTTAAAGAAGCAACTAAAGCTTGTAAAAACATCTGTGCTTCTCCAAGCAAAAAACGGGAACAGAAAAAAGCCATTGTACAACAAAAGGAACAACGTCATCAAAGGAGTTTACGTGACTCACACTGATGATGATAATAACAACAGCGATGAAGAACAAATTCGGAAATTTTCTAATTATCTTTTGAAAAATTGCAACTTAATGACAATGAATAACTATATATATTAAAAAAAATACATTTTCTATTTACCAATGAAATATTTCTCGAAATATACATCACTGTTTCTATTTATGGACGTGGGTGGGGTGTGGATGGGGCACAGTGGGCAAAACATGGGAGTCAGGAGCAATTCCCAGATGAGGGTGTGGGTGTGGGTGTGGGTGTGGGTGTGGGTGTGGGTGTGGGTGTGGGTGTGGGTGGGTGTAGGTGTGTGTGAGTGTGTTTCTAGGTATACCCACACCCACACCCACATCTTCGTGGAACTTGAAGCATCATCATTTGCATTCGAGCAGATGTCCTAAGCCAGTTAGAAAAGAAACAACTATGAAATTTACTAGATATAATGACGGATTATCCTCTATTTTCTAGTTTTTTTTCTGCTCGTCATAATGATTTTTCACTCTGTGACAACATTTAATGACCTTACTTCTTCTTGTACTCAACGAACTTGAGCTTCGATTGGTAGAACTTACTGGCAATGCCCAGATATTCTTATACGACTTTTCGACTGTTGCGACAGTTTTTGGATGAAAGAAAGATCATTGCCTTTACGAAAGGTTTCTGATTTAAAAACACGTACTATTAACAATTGTGATGGTAAGATTAGTCTTCAATGTGTGTTTTTTCTATAACCTTACTTCATTCTATTTTTGGCTAGTACATACGCTTTAATCTTAGAGTCGACAAGATGCATTCTAATATCTAGCACTTTATTGATGTACTAAAGAAAGAAGTTCATTTTCAAAAGCAACTCATTCATGCCCGAAGTGATCTGCTCAAGAAAATCTGGACATCTCATGCAATCATTTTTCGAAAAATGAAATTGATTTAAATGGATGACTTGAAGGCTTATCGATGATAGTTACAAGAGAAAAACAAGAAGAAAAACAGAACTAAAACCCGTTTCTTTCAATATCAGACTTTTCCAGTATAAATTTGTATTAGTTAAGTTCTGCTTTATATTTTTTTTCTCTCGAAATACTTAGTCTTGTTAGTAACTCTTACATTAATCTATTCATATAAAGTTCATTTGTTTTTTTTTCATTTTTCGAACATTTTTTCACCTATGCTTTATCTCATCTGGATTGTCTTCAATGAAAGAGATGATTAAATATTTTATATTATTGAATTCGATATTTTGTTTTTTAAGCTTAATAACTTTCGACATTTTCACTTTTGACATTTTACCACTTTCCTTTAAATATCACTTTCATAAGTTTGTAATGTAAACAGTATTGCATATTAGCGACGTGTTTGCGTAGCGTATAAATGGTGAAGACAATGCACCAGTTATTATAACTCGTGCATGGTAATGTGTTACACTCTTTTTGAATTTGCCTATGAAACATCTTGAAATAGCTATTAAGAAACACAATTATCTGAATGGAAAACAACTAAACTGAATGCTTTTTCTTTGGTATTGTTAAATGAATCTTTACATGTAATTTTTTGAAACATCTGGGAGAACTTTGTTCTGAATGGTGATCACACATGAACGTTTAACCGGTGTTCTGTAGGGCTTAAATATGTGTTAACTAGTTCGTTTTGTGTGGATGTCAGTTATGAGTACTTTTGAGTGTTATCGTAGTCCAAGTTCACACTCTGACCCAAAAGAAAAACATTCTATTATGTGATTTCTGCTTAATTAAAAGATCACTATATGATGCATCTTCCTTGTATGTTCGCGAAGTTTTCTGTAGGGTAGTATGTTTTTATGGAACTCCCTTTCTCATGACACAAACATTTGTGTTGTTCGGCTATTTACCTGTCAAATGATTATTTCTTATTTCATTTTCCAACCGAAATTTTTTACTCATATTTATTTTGTCTGTTTAAGAAACTGTTACAGCTTATCTGTATTTTTTTTCGAGACATCGGTGAGATTCAAAAGCAAGCTATCTGTTATTTTTCGCAAAAACTTCGTTTTCGCAAATTGGTTTAGATAATTTCTGTTTTAGATGAACGTAAAAGCATTCTTGTCATTGGTTCTAATGTTTGAACTTATCGAGGTTCAGGCTTATTGTGTTTTACCATCGTTCTTCGGTGTTCCCGTCGGAACTATTGTTTCGTTCGGTGGCCAGGTGCTTCCAAGCAGATGGTTGTGGTGTAATGGATCGGCAATATCGCGTACGACATATAGCGACTTATACGCAGCTATAGGTGACTCGTTTGGCGCAGGCGATGGTTCTGATACATTTAACTTACCAAATTTGGTAGACAAGTTTCCTCTTGGTCAGAGCTCCATGCTCGGATCGAGTTTTAGTATAGGTGGTACAAACACGATTACATTGATGACAAATCAACTTCCAAAACATACACATGGATCTGGTTCAATAACTGTTAGTAGCGCAGGTGTACACTCTCATACCATTAAAGATCCTGGTCATAACCATGGAGGATGGACGGGTACGGTGCCAGGCGGTGCGTCTAGTTCGGGTACACTTGCTACAAGAGGTATTTTCCCCAGTGACAATAATCACAGGCATAGTATCCCTATGGGCTCAACAGGTATAACACTAAACGAAGATGGCCTTCATTCGCACACGGTTTCTGGTTCGACATCTTCAACAGGCAACGGAGACCAAATCTCCATTATGCCGCCATATCAAACAGTCAATTTCATTATATACACTGGATGTGGTGCTTTGAATGAAGCTGGTTAGCATGAATCGGAAAACCAAAAAACTGTTCATGCAACTATGACTCTAATTGCTATTACAGTGACGCTTCATGAACGTATATTCATTATTCACGCATTATCTTTTATCGTTTTCAGTCCCATTTAGAATTTTCATCAGTTTCTCCTGTTAGTGTTCATGTGTAGGATACAAATCTAGCTTTGTCGCTTAAACCAGTCAATAATAATAATTTATTTCGAAATAAAGATCATTTAGGGTGTGGGTGTGGGTGTGAGTGTGGGAGAATTTCTAGAGAAGATTCATACCCAAGCATACACCCATCTCACGCCCACACCCTCGAGATGACAGGTGAAAGTGGCTGGTTCGTTCTAAATCACCAGAAAGGAATATGAACACAATGAATAGGTCGAATGTCCGATCTGTATGTCTCTTCGAAAACTCATCCGATTATTACAAACAATTTCATTATGGTAAGGATTTTCACTGCTCTCTCCTGGCAGTCTCAGAATGGCGGAGAGACGTAGCTCCGTTTTCAAAGTTTTCTACAGTGCTTCTGAAGAACAACAAGCTTTTCACAAACTACGCTCTTGTTTTTTTATTATCAGAGATTCGAATGAATCTGACTTTGTGTCAGGGTTGAACTTCTTTGTGTGATACTGTTTTGGTAAGGAGATATAAATATTTTGAGTTACTCTGTATTTCCATATATTATGGTAAGAGAGCCATTCGCAATTTTGTCAGTTTCTTCATGAAAAAATAGTTTTCCAACAAAAAATATTAGTAGGTTTTATAGTTAATGTTAGTCTCTATTATTTGAAACGTTGCTCAATTCAAATAGTTACACCTTTAAAACGATAGTGACACAATACTGGGTATATTCGAAAATATTCAACTTTTAGGAGTCCAAATTGAATATTAATCAGTGTTTTAGCGCGCATTTTCCTTAGACAACAGCCATATATTATAGATTTGACCGCAAGTCAAATAGAACTTATGTTCTAGGTATAGAAGTTGAAAAATAAATTGAATTCTCTTCGATGATGATAGCTAACCCCATAATTAACTTATTTTTGAAGAACAACAGAAGGGGTGTAGATGTGGGTGTGGGTGTCGATATGGGTTGAGAAATGAACGACATCCACATGCGCATGCACACTCAAACACC